TAGTTCACCTGAACGACTAGCATGTTCCCGAACCTGGCCAGATCGCTGCCGTTGAAGTTGGCGTTGGAAAGAGACTGAAACCCGCCGCCTTGGATGAAGTACATGACTGGCAACTTGGACTCCGGTGTCGCGTTCGATGGCGCAAAGATGTTGACATAGAGACAGTCTTCGTCCGTCGTGAAGCGCTTGTTCGGCTTCATGGTGAAGTCGGAGGCACTTCGGGCTAGACATATCGGGCGGAACTGGCAGAATCGTTAGCAAATCAAAGCCGCTATCCCACACCTTGGAAAGACGTCTTTACATTCGAAGCATCGACAACATCAGTCGTGTTCGGGGGATCAACCGGTGCCGCGAACCGGAGCTGGCCCACCGGCGGCGCAGCAAACCGGACGCCCAGCCAGCGAGTCGCACCGCCCTGCTCCGCGACTCCTTGGAGTTTGGTGTAGCCGAGGTCTACAAGCGGGTCAACCGCCTGGACCTGGCCGATGATTGCGGCCGAGAGAAGAGAAACGAGGGGTTTGGTTAGGGAAGGCATTATTACAGAAGTGACAGACTTAGATTAAAATGATAATAGGAACAGACTAAACACAATCATCACCAATAACTAATCACAGCCAAGGAGAGAATTCGACCATCATCCGAAGAAAGAGACTGAGCGGTCTTGTCATCTGTTATAGGGTCATTGGGACTGAGCTTGAATTAGACCAGACCAGACTGACAGCCCCGAAACCGAAACAGACCGGAGTATTTTGTTGACTCGAGGGCCATCCTCTGCACCCGGCTTGCCAGCTTCGAGGGCTTTTGAAAGCTTCTCCGGACTGTCCGCAGGTTTGGAGTTTGGGTGCGGGGGTTTCAGAACCGGGTCTTTGAAGCGACCTTGTCGCGAATGTCGTGTTCCAGAACGACGAACTCTATTCGGAGGAAAGATTTCAAGATGGACATATGATCCCCAGGCAGGGTTCTCATTCTCCGTAGCCGAGGGCAGAAGAAAGCACCCCCCTTCACCATGGCAAGTCTAACAGCACCCTTTAAACTGCCGCGGTCATCCTCCGCGGCCGGGGTATCATCCGCACGTTTAGAGTTTTTCGTCGCAACAATACCCTGTTTCCCCTTTTCACGCCATTGCATCATCCATGCTGCTTAGATGCATACTCTTTAGGATGACAAGATTCATAAGATGAACGCTCCTTGGCAGACGGTTTCAGTGGGATCGAATAAGACGAGATGCTTTTCTCTCATCATGTCAGCCACTCTTGACTCTGCATGTTCTCCTAGACCGCTTTAGGAAACGTCGTATCATTTGCCTTGCCGACTGCCTGGTAAGTTATACATGAATCCATGACACCGCAATCTTCTATCCACATAGGTTGCAATTGCGACGGCCGAGGTCGTAGTCGCTATCCGTTGGGTGTGCCATTCCGATCTTTCGGCACCAACCGGCCGTTCGGCGTGAACCATCCAATCTATCAGCATGGCAGTATCAATGACACTTGGTGTAACAAGACTGTAGTCTGTGTATTCAACATGACCAGGTAGTTGTACAGGGGTGCTATTTACAGCTGAATTATGTACAATAGAAGATGATATAGAGATGTAAGTTGTTTGGGAGGTGATTGTTCATACAGCAAACTCGCTTTTTACTCGTAGACATAGCAGAACGGAGATCCTCCGACAGTGTTCATCAGGTCTCTGAGCTTGGCCGATCCGCCAATGGGAGCAATGTCAATTAGATCATCCAAAGTGGCGTTCGCGCTCGGCGGGTTGTTTTGCAATGTCCTGGTGCCAAAGATATCCTTCAGAAAAGCAATTGTTAGTATTTCCTCAATTAGGATGCAAGTAAGACTTCAAAGCTTCTTTCATGGGGGTTCCGACATACCTGTCTGTTGGCAAAGTCAAGCATCTGCCAAATCCAGTAGACGCGGTCGATTTGAGCGTGGTGCAGGAAGAAGGCGGGCTCGCCGGGAGAAATGAAGGGATCCGCGCCGGGGTCGCCTATACGCAAAGTCAGTTGCCGTCGAAGCCAAGATGTGCGCAAAAGTCTTTTAAAAACTTACCTCCTATCGTGTAGTGGCCTCCTCCGTGAATGCCGACCTCGCTGCCGGGCGTATACCTGTCATCACCCTGCATAACCGCCTGGAACCACTCAATGTTGTCGTTACCGAGGATCAACTCGGTGGTATTGCGCAGCGAAGAGTATCGGGCAGCAATGTGCTTGTTGAGGTCACGCTTCAAGCAGCGAGGGTGGTCATCGGTCGGCTTATCGACGGTCAGCGGCGTCGTGGTGCCGTACTGCCACAGCAGCCGGGGCCCGACGTGGACGACCATATCGGAGAAGGGTCCGGTCTCGACGCAGCCGCCGCCCGAGCCGGGCTCGAGGATGATGGTGGTGTTGGTGAAGCTCTGGAGGAGGTGCATGCCCTCGTGCTCGATGGCTGCGCCGTTGCTTCCCATGGAGGTCTCCGAGCCGTCGAAGACGGGCGACTTAGCTGGGTCTTCAACGTCGAAACCCCATTCCCAGTAGGGGAAGGTTCCTGTTACGCGGGCAATTAGATTGGAGTTTTAACCCTGTGGATGAATCGAGAAGTGCTAACCAGTGTAGCCGCAAACGTTGCGGAGGTTTTCCTCGTATGTCCATGTGAAATATCTGTGCCAAAGGAGGAAGTTCGCCTGGATAGTCCCACTCAGTCAGCCCCATTGAATTTCCGAGTAGTACCCGTCTTGACATACCGTAATGTGAATCATTCCAGTCTGGTTGAGATGGGTCAGAACAAAGTCGTCGTATAATGACTTTGCAGACGGAAGCTCCGTGGCGTTCAACAGATTAGGGGATGACTGAAGGCACTTGACCGCAGCGACGTACGCCTTGCGCTCTTCGGCAGGAATTGTTCTCCTGAAGACCCAATATCAGCACGCTGTGATCGAAGAACGGGGTCATCGTACATAACTCACCATTCTTTCCGTACGCGCAGCTTGTCGGGCGTGCAGGTCGAGTTGATACCCATCCGCTGGTTCAGCGCCTTTGAGGCCTCGAGAGCCTGCGCTGAGAGCTGGGTAAGGGCATCGCCGTTGTCGATCGCCGTCTGCGTAAAGTTGTGGGTTTTGGTCTTGGCAGAGGTAAGGGCAGCGTTGCCGGCGGCAAAGAGGAGCCAGACGCAGTGCTTAAGGACGGCCATGACGTCTGTTACTGGATGTTACTGTAAAAGCAACTTTAACCGGATGAACAGCGTTCGATACCACAATCCTTAAGCTTTTTTGAGAAACTAGATCCTTCCGCGGAACTTGAAGCCGGCCATCATAGATTATATGTTTACTGAACATGTAGGGCAGAAGGAGAATATTTAAAGGCGGCAGGCTGCCGTGGAGACTCGGAGAGAGTAGGTTTCCCTTTTCTAGATTGCCCATCGGAGCCGATATTCTCAAGGATTGTTGTTCTCGGTTAGGGCCGTTTATCCATCTTTGAGGGAGGCTATCGTGTGTAGCATATTGGTCGAGGCCGGCAACAAGATCCATAGAATACACCCTTACCAAGCTTCTGCAGTTCCAAGTAGATGGGATGCAATGGGATCGGGTGAACTATTCGCTAGGTTCTTACTTCTCAAACAGGAACGAATATCCATCAAAAAAGTTGGTCCGAACCACGCACCCACGTTGCATGACACCCGCCTTTACAGGCTTCCAGAGCGCCGTTGTTCCAAACGGGGCAGCTCTAGAGCCAAGATGTTGGCGTGGCCAATCGGGGTTGGAATAGAGATGGGACCTTTAATCTATATCGGCTATCAACATTAAAGTTAAATTTAGCATTGCCACATTTCGGCCCACGCACTGGGTGCGAGAAGACTAAAGAGTCGACAACATCCCTTCCTCTGTGGCGTCGTGTCAGCAATGACAAAACTGGGCTACGTGACCATGGTGGACGATGCTCTCTCCACAAACAGATAATCGGCTCCGGGCACGTGGATCTTGATCACCACGGGCACCACTTACATAGCAGGTACTAGAATCTGTCCGGCTCCCGTTTTATTTGAATCAAGAAATGCGCTGTTCTCGCTCATGGGTGTTGTTGGTATCGGTGTCCGTCCACCATGGCGGGGTGGAGCTCTGGCGAGTCAGATTTCAACAAATCCATCAAGCTTGGGCGGATCCGGCCTCGGCAGTTGTTGAAATGATTCAGATGAAGCAATAAACATGCTGAAATTCCTCCGAAAGTGTGTGGTCTAGCTGCGCAGGGCATCTTTCCAAGTGAGGAACAAAGCTTACCAAAATGCACCATGATGACGATCCTGCTCTTTACAACTTCGTGGTGACGATACACTTTACATCTAGCCTACTAATCGTTCTCTAAGCATCTCGAACCTTGCGTGCGATCCTGTGAGCCACGTGCAGTTTAGCTGACACCCGCACGACCCAAGCGGCTAATTATTGCTTGGTCACTATATGTAACCTTCCTAAAATATTCGTTCAGTCTCAAATTGACAGTGGCGTGATGTTTATCAAGAATGCTATCGGGGCCTTGAACCTTGTTCTTGCCGGGAACGCGGCTACCGGCACCACGGCGCCTACTCCAACTCAAGACGACTATGTAGTATTATCTACGCCTGTCAAAGTGACGAGCCAAACGCTGCCCAATTAACTGGTTTCCTAAACGGAAAGGGTCACTTCTTTTGAGCCCCTGCCAAGTCGACTAAGCATTCTATCACGTGTCGCTGAATCGCAAGGTAATGTCAGCTTGCAATGCAACTCTATTAGAGATTGTTTTTCAGATTGGCTTATAAAGTGAAAGCTAGCTCAGGAAATTGGAATCAGTCAGCCGCGCCCTCTCTCGGGTTCGGTCTGTTGCGTTCTAGCGAAGAAACAGCCGTCGTGACTGATACGATTTGAATTGTGTAAGAATCTTTGCCAGCATACGAGTACGTAATTTGATGACTGAATATATACACTCAGCTTTATATAAAATTGTACAGGTTCCTCCTTCTTCCTTCCACCGTTACCAATGAGGAGGCTCAAACCTTGACAAACCAGCCTTTGCCAATCTTCTTCGTCTTGACTATTCGCGCCAAGGTTAAGAAGAATGTTCCCAACATCAAGCAGCTGCCAGCAAAAGCCTGGGCGCCGAGGTATCGGCCGCCGGTAGCAGAGATGATGGCACCGGCGATTGGATTGCCGGTGAGCACCGCAAACGCAACAATAGTGAAGACCATCCCGATGCGCGTCCCTTGCTTGCTAGGGTCCGTCGTCAAGGCGCTGACGCCAGCCGGGAAGAGGGCCTGGATGGCGTTACCCGCGATGCCGAAGAAAATGGTCCAGACATAGAGTCCCGATGGGGACTTCACAGCGATCCAGCAGTAGGTTAGTAGCCCAGAGATCAGAGCCATTGGTGTGAAGACTGTGATTGTGCCGATCTTGTCGGCGAGGAAATTTGGGCCTAGACGCCCGATGAAGCCGATGCCGTTCAGAACCAGTAGGAGATTTAGCGAGTCCGTGTACGAGAAGTCGAGCTCGTCTCGACTGAAAGAGGCCAGGTAATAAAAGGCAAAGTACACCCCCATGAAGGACTGGACACATTCAAGTCAGCGGTGACGTTCAGTTTCAACAGGCGGAAGATGAACTTACAAAGAACCCCCCGGCAGTATAGAATGTATACTCCAGTTCCTTGAACGACGCCAAGTCCACCATCTTGCTCGCTTTGCGCGGCGGTATGCGCGGCTTCAGAAAGATGAACCCAACTGTCAGTGTCGCAAGCTGTATGAAGCCAAGCGTGCGCATAGCCCATGGAAACCCAACCTGCGGCAGCAACTGTCGAACCGTACTCGGGAACACCAAGCCGCCTGACGCGCTTCCTACAGCCGCCATGCCGATGGCGATGGCCCTTCTCTTGTCAAAGTAAGTCGATAGCGTCGCTAGGGATGGGCAAAACACCAGACCGAAGCCCAGCCCTACGCAGACGCCGTGCGAGAGGAAAATCTGCCAGTACTGCGTGCACCACGACGTCGCGAAGATGCCGAGCAGGATGAGGAAGCAGCCGGAGAAGTAGAGATGGCGAAAGTACCCTGCATCAGTGAAACGGCCTGAGAATGCGCCGATGAAGAAGAGCAGGAAGACTTGGAAGGATCCGATCCATGAAATGTCTGACGGTGGTCTCTTCAGCTGCTGGACGTAATATGTCTGAAAGACGCCGAAAGAGTTGACGAAGCCCCTACATTGCCCGCCATGTCAACCACTTCATCTTCAAGGTCCTGTTGCGCTGTTGTCTCACTCACCATGTATCCATAAAGATGAAATGCGCGCTCAGTACTATAATAACCGCCCGTCAGCTCCACTCCTTCAGCAAAGGCAGCATCTCGTTCTCACCGGCCATCCAAGCATTGTATCCCCCGTCAGGCGGCGGCCCGGGATCCGCAGTGGGCGCTGACGCGATGCGGCTCAGCACGCGCCCGACGCGGCTCCCTGTCCGGTGCGTCTCTTCTCCTACCAGACCACCTTCATTCCGCGACGAGTCGGACCTCGTCTCCTTTTCTATGCTGCTATCCATCATCACAGTCTGTTGTTGGGCGACATGCGTTCTGATGTCGAGAGGGTGGCGTCATAGACCTGGATGGACATTGATCGTGTGTGTTGTGTCCTGGGAATAAGCGGTTTTTCATTCCCGTATGCTAGTCATGGCGGGGAGCGCGCAGCTTAAAGACTCTGTTTGAACCAGTTTCCTCGCGCTTTCGCGCTTAGAACTAAAATCCCTTTTCTCCTTTGACTCATGGGCAAAAGTCCCTAGTTCGTCACTCAGTCTTTGCCGAGGTTAGGCGGTGTGTGTGGTAAGGGTAAATGAATAGCAGCGCCCCGCGAAACTATTACTTAGAGGCGGCAGTAAGAAGTTGAAACTTGAGAATTAGTCATGAACAACTACAATTGGGATCGCTCGGTGATTAACATATTCAATCTAAGCAGCAAATTTCACACGCCCTTTGACGCCCTTTGGACCGGAACCGCACGGCGAGCCAACCAGGATGCCGATGAGTTGCCAGGATATTGAGCCAACTCTGTCGGAAATGCGGCGGAAGTACCGGGGATCCTCCCGTTCCCCGCGATCTCTTCCGAACTAGTAGAATTGGTTGTCCTTTGGCTGTTAGTTGGACAACAGTTTCGCAACTTCGTACGAGCCTTAATCCTATACTACATCTATTCTCACGGATCTGATTAGAGTCGGTTCAGGTTTCCGATGTTTATCATTGCATGATGCAAGTAATTAACTTCTTTCCAGGGCAGGAAAATAGTATACGACTGCATTGAATTGGACGCTCGCAAGTATCTTTGCTCACATAGCCGCAAGCTGACTAACACGGTCGCCCACTCCGCGGAGATGCATCTTACTTCGACTTCATGTCGTCGATGGCCGAGGTAATAGCAGCTTACATTTCTCTGTTCCAATTACCTAAGGCGATCTGGTCACTTTGTCCACATGTTCAGCGACGTTTTCACTGAAGAGTCATAGCTCCCATAATGAGTCGCTGTAATTTTGAGATGAGAAGAAAGCTCACAAGATGACGTGTAGGGGTGCATCATCAGCAAAGATGAGACGGACCCCGCCTGAGAGGTGATACATTGAAGATGAGATTTCAGCACATGCCACCTTGGCTAGTGAGCCGTCACTCATATCGTGCAGTCTGTTGATTTCATGATTACTGAGTCGCAAGCAGCGTACATCATGATGCGACTCACTAGTTGATGATTTTGGCAAAGGATATCGTATAAAGTGAAGGCGTTTACGCACCAAGTCGGATGCGCCACAAACTCCATGGACATTTTCATGATGCAAAGGGATAAACACAATTGAGCAGCTGCGCCAAGACCGTAGGAGAAGCCGCATTCGAGTCCGTGTTGGCCTTTGACTTTCAAACACAGAGCTTCTCGCTCATCAATTCGCTTCAGTGAGAGTTGCACCTTATGTAAGAGGGTGGTATGGGCGACGCCTGGTGTCACGAAAGGGCGAGCCCGTCAAGAAAGCGAGAACAATGAGGTCTAATCCGGGCTTCAGCAGACAGCCTTGGCTCAAGTCGCTGAGTCTTTCAAGGGCTCTGTATCGTTGCCAGACTGGGACTTGCGTAGGATGTCGCAAACGGCTCTTGTGCTTCGCCAAGTGCCCAGTGATTGTAGCTGATACTATGAATTCGTATCACGAGCTCCTTCGGTGAGCCAGACGCTCCCTTCGATTCAAGAATGAACTCTTTTCATCAATTTCCCAAGACAGTCTGCCTTTATGCTCATATAAACCACAAAGTACAATGTCCGGCAACGTGGACCAACATGAAGAGCTCTTCGTTCTCCCAACTGTGAATCATAATTCTCATGTATCAACGTCCTGCATCACTCTTTTGAGCTTCGAATAAACCATGCATCCTATCAATCTTTACCTTCTTCTTACACATACCTTGATCACGAGCCTCCTAGCTAACCCAGTCCCCGTCACCAACCACACCTCCACCCCCAACAACGCCCGACGATCCTACTTCACCCCCGTCCGCGAACCCGAAATGCACCCAGTTGAATGCCACGACGAAGCCGAATTCCGCGGCCACGCCGACATTAAGCCCAAATTCTTCTTCGAGGGCGTCTACAAGTTCTGCCAGCAGCGCTACGACACGACGCAGGTCCTCGACGCGAGTGACGACCCGACGAACCCCGCTTACCACGACGGCAACGGCCGCCTGACCCGCAATGCGAGCTGGCGGTACCGGGACTGGCACGGAGTCAACCACGACTTTAGAGTTTGGTGGGAGGCGGGCTGCAGGGTGACCGTCGGGAAACAGAGCGTGCGGCGCCCGTTGGGGGAGGAAGGGGGCCCCGTGTGGACGCCGGGGTGTTATGAGATCATGGGGTCTACGCATTATGAGTGTGAGTTTACTTTATTTTGGGCGCCCCCGATTGTCGTGGCAATCTGCGATTTGGGTTTTTTGCCAAGGCGTGTTTGCAAGTCTATCTTACTCATGATCACGGATTATAGAATGTTACTGACGCTCTTATTTTCTGACATGTAGGTAAAGGCAACGGCGGTGTTGGTGGAAGGAAGAAAGTCGGCTGCCTCATTTACGAGTATAAAGGGGGAAAGGGTGATAATGACGACCCGGCGTCTTGATGAAGAGCCGAGCTTCATATTGCAGGACGACGGCCACGATGAGCCATGTGAACTTCCAAAGATGGCTTGGTCTTATGGAATCATGGGGCAGATTATCTGCGAGAAAAGGATATAGTTGACAGCTCGCGTTGATGATATGGCGCGTGACGAAGCGCAACTGCGATATCCCTGGTACGGTCAGAATCCCCAGACAGCCCGATACTCTATATATCCCTGTTCTCAGCCCGATGGTGGTGCCATTGTTGGATCAGCGTACATCGGACCCTGAATGACGTACAATTGATTGCAATTCTCATGGGGAGTTTAAAAGGGAATGATGGCCCGGGCATGATTTCTTGTATTGATGTTACGTAGGTACGGGACCCGTGCCCATTTATTCCGCCACACGCCGCGAATATCAAGAAGCTGTCAAACATCTCAATATACGTCACAATGGATACGCTTTTCATGAAGGCAGTGAGCATTAAGATGCCTGACTCCCTCGCAAATTTCATACAAACCGATCCGTGGGCCGGTAGACACGCTCGTGCTACTTCTGTCAAACAATCACCACCCACTATCAAGCAAGTTCCAGCGCCAGCGCCCGTAGTAGCGAAGATGGAGCAACACAATGAGACACAGTAAACCAACCTTTTATTAATAGTGCAAAGCAAAGAGACGGAGATTTTTAGAACTTTCCATGCTGACAAATAGCGGTCAGACTAAACAGAAACCTCTCCGAGGAGACCAAAGACACGAATAGCTCGGGAGGAACGAATCGAAGCAGCGGCGAGAGCGCCGGTGGTACTCGCAGCAAGGGCAAACCAAAGGGAGAGTTATCATCCACGGTAGATACTCTCCTGAATAAGGCACTGGGTTTCGGAGCTGCGAGTGAGGCTGAGAAGAAGAAGAGCGGTGCTGCTTGAAGGTTTCGAAGGGGCGGGTACGAAAGTATGATTCATGTTATGAAGCGTTATCTTGTGTAGTAGATTGTGCTTGATCCTAGCGAATAGCATATTTGTTTTGCTCGAATGATTGTCGTATATGCCAAGTGAACTTCGAGATGTTAGCACGATGGGAAGGTTGTTCGCGCCATGCTCACATCCTGACCCAACTGCGGGTTGAACATGGGTTGTCTCTCTACGTCCTCACCGCTGCTGCATCGACGAGAAAGCGAAACCTCTTTCCCTGAGAGCGAGGAAGAGAAACCTAAAGGCGCATCTATCCCACATAAAAGCAGAGAAGCATGATATGCAACCCACGCCGTGAACCCCAGACTTTCGGAGCTTTCCCATGCGATCCAGGCGTCTGGTGCCCCCGCTCCCAGGACCCCGCGCTACCCCGCAACGTGACGCCACCCGGACGGCGCCCGATGCTCCTCCGGGATAAGCATACTTGCAGCCGGCTGATGTGCCCGACATGGGTACTGATAGCGTTATTCAAGGTTCTATATATATTTTCGACTACATGTATACAATCGAGAAGAGAGAAGAGAAAAACAGATCTGGTTCTCAGTGTCAGCCTATCTGCCAAGTCCTCCCACCGCTGATTTGGAGTATCATCCCCCACAAAGTCCCGGTGATGCCGTCGGCGACATGAGCCGAGATAAGATTATGGGTTTACTGATAGATCATACCCAATTTCGTCGTGTAGGGACTCATCATTGGCGATTCTCAGGGCTCCAAAAGATCCAGACTACCAACCAATTGAAAGATGGCACGCTGCATAGATGATATTCCATCAGAACCGCGCAGTCTTGGTACATACGAGAGTGATACGTCGGCTTGGCTAGCGGAGTATAAAGCAGCCATGAATCCATCAAATACCGTGGAGGAATTACCTTCTCCAACATCTTCCCAACTTGCAAAGTAGTTGTAGTGACCCAGCCTAGTCCTCGTAACAGCAATTCCCCGTGACAGCAATGCTACCCAACTTCCTCGCCACGACGCTGGCCTTGGCCACGGTAACGTCCGCCTCCCCAATCACCAGGTCTTCATCGACAAACGCATGGGATCTGGACTGGATATCAACAGATTCATCCCTCCCAAAAGTGATGTAAGTCTTTCCCCAACCCTCATAAGCACTCCCGCAAGCACTCTTATTAGCACCCAGCTAACCAACCCAACACAGCATCTACAACGCAGGCGGCACAATCCTCTCCGCCTCAAACTATAGCCGCTTAGATAACATAGCCTACGGCGCCGGCGCCTCCCCAACGCCCTACGACCTCATCGGAAACGTCTCCGAGGTCCTCAAGGTCGCTCAGCTCGCCGTCGTGGAACTCAATGCCCCCGGCGGCAGCGCGGGGTTGAATTCGTCGCTGTATTTGAATATCAGCCAGCTTGCTAACGCACAGATTTGTGCCGAGGGGAGTGATGTAGCTGGTGCTATTATGTTTCATGGAACGAATACGTTGGAAGAGACGGTTTGTGATCCATGTCTGTGGGTTGTGGGGGATATTGGCTGATGAAGAGGATACTAGGCTTTCGGCGTGGATTTGCTCCAAGCCGTTCGTCGCCACGGGATCCATGAGGCCTGATACGTATGTCTCCCCTGACGGACACGCGAATTTCTACCAGGCTGTTGCGGCTGCTGCCTCGCCTTCTTCGCGTGATCGAGGGGGCCTAATCGCCTTCAACGACAGGTAAATTCTCTAAAAACGTGTCCATTACACTTAGCACATAGCCCCTGATCAGCCGGAAGAGGCATTTCATCAAGGAATAAGGCTGAAGGGAAATCAGTTTCGACTAACAAAGACACCTGAAATAGAATCACCTCAATCTACTACTCCACCAAAGTAAACGCAAACACACCAGACACGTTCAAGGCCCTCGAGCAAGGGAATCTCGGAGCCTTTCTCGCGGGGCAGCCGTATTACTTCTTCGACCCGGCGTACCCGACAGGACGGCCTTATTTTGATGTCACGGGTGTGACGGAGCTGCCTTCTGTGATTATTGTTTACGGTCATCGTGAGTTGTCTTTCAATCTTGAGTCTGCCCGATAACTTCCCCCGCACGAGGAGAGGGTTTGATACATGGAGCAAGAAAAGAAAGTTGACAGTAGAGTTTTGTAGAGGGATTTGATGCTTCGTTGATGCATGCTGCTGTCGCCAACGGCGCAAAGTAAGTCCATCCCTGATCAGACATCGCTGAAACCGACCAGAAGCTGATGTCCACGCTATCAGGGGTTTGGTGATTCTCGGACCCGGCGCGGCAGCCGTGAGTCCCAGCGCCCGAGCCGCGGCCGCGGACCTGCTGGAGCAGCGGGGGATACCCACCATCGCCGTCGCGCGACCCGTCACCGGCACCGGCGTTCCGAGTCCCTTTCCCGGGCCGCTGTACGTAAAGTCCCCTAAGCCTCACCATACTGAAGCCAATCATGCGGTTGCGCCTCCTCCAAGTTCTGAGAAACCTTGCTCTCGGATATTCGCTGACATAAGTTGCAACTAGGATCTACTCGAGTTACCTCGGCGGCGAACAGGCGCGTATTATGCTTCAGCTCGCTGTCAATGCCGGCTATGACATCGATGCGATCCGAGGGTTGTTTGAGAGTCCTTTGAGGAGTACTATCTATGATACGCCTGCGAATCAAAAATTCTATTACTCTGGATGAGGGAAAAGGGTGCTATGGTGAAAGAGAAGGTATGGTCGAGAGACCTAGAAGACATGGTGATACAGTAACGATACAGGAACGAACACATGGAAATATTATACGACATTGCGTCCTGAATCTGGCACCTGATTGTCATTGAGCCGAGGACAGAAGGACAAAAGAAGAAAGAAGATGGGGGCAATCACAGCGCTATCATTACATTACTCTTCACAATCACCTGCCGTCTGTGAATATAGTGCCGGGGAAGGAGTTGTTCGTTGGAAAGCACGACGTATCAGGCCAGCTTGGGCCTGTTTGCTGGACCGGCAGACGCATCTAATCCAAATGAAAGTAGTCTACAGAGAAATGTCAGGTCAGGGCCAAGTCATCAACACTTGCAGGTTTGGATACATAAGTAGTCGTATATACAATATATAGCAACGATAAATAACTATCATCTCCAGTTTTTCTTAGATCAAGGCGCTTTCGGAGCTTCACCACTTTGTACATAATCCAAAATACTAAGTCGCCTTTGGGAGTCACATCTCCTCTTTCGGTGCATCATTGGGAATTGCGAAACTCAGAAGTCTCGCAAATTTCGTCCGCCGAGGGGCCGAATCGAGTCGGAAAACTTACCGAGCGGGCCTGCTAAGAAGCGGCTCCTGGTCGTCGCCCTCGTGCTCGTCGGCGAGCTTCTTGGCCTTGCTGCCGGCGAACGGCCAGTACCCCTTCTCGTTGCAAATCATGGCGAAGAAGCCCGCGGCGACGGCGACCCAGTAGAGGTTGTAGGAGACGACGGAGCCGACGGTGGCCGAGTTCTGCCAGCCGAGGACGGCGTTGAAGATGCCCCAGAAGCCGCCTCCGTTGAGGTCGGGGTTGCAGCACTGCGTTTTGTGTCAGAATTTGGTATGTTGATAGTAACGATTGGCGAGGTCAGGGGGGGCTTACGTTGACGTGCCAGACGCTTCTGCGGACGTCGTAGGAGCCGGGGCCGGAGCCGAGTTCTGCTGCGTCACCTCCGACGATTTTGTTCCACTTTGGATTTCTGCGTTAGTATCACCTAGCAACTGTAATTAGGGATAGGAGGTTGCTGACCTCATTCTGCTCAAAGTGCCAGACGCCCTTGGAGAAGAGACCGGCGGCGATGAGGTACAGGAAGCAGGTGGAAACGATGAGGAAGATTTGGATCGGTGCCGTCTTGGAGCCCCTTTTCCCCACAAAATCAGTACGGATGCGGCACAACGTCAAGAATCACCGCGTTTAAACTCACTTGTAGATGAAGTAGCCAACGAAGGCACCAAGCGCAAGACCGAGAATCGACGAAATGGCAATGGATGCAGCAGTCTCGCTCACACCCACGCCAGCAATGAAGAGCACGCCCTCGAAACCCTCACGCAGGACGGTAATGAATGGCAACAAGAACAGGGCGTACTTCTCGCCGAGGTACTTCAAGCGGTCGCGGAAGGGCCCCGAGTGGGACTCGCTCGCGTTCAGGGCCTTGCTCAGCTTCACGCGCCACTTGTCCTGCAGCTTGGTGACGCGCAGAAGGACGGCGCCCATGGCGGTGATGATGAGGGAGGCGCCGAGGGAGAAGATGCCCTCCCAGATGCTCTCTGCGGCGGCGAACTGCTCCGCGCCGAGGGAGTGGATGCCGCTGATGATGGCCATGGCGATGACAACGCAGGTAACGAGGCCGGCGGCGGTGCCGAGCCAGACCTGTTTGACCATCTTTTGGTGGAGGACGGGGTCATCTTTGGTGGCGAGCGTACGCTTGATGAAGGCGAGGAGGACGGAGACGATGATGGCGGTTTCGAGGGACTCGCGGAAGGTGATGAAGAAGACTGTGTTTTGTAAGTTTATGATGGTGACGATAATAAAGATAAGGGGTTACGTACTGGGGAGTGAGAATAGGTCCTCCATTGTGAGTTTGTGGTTGTGATGTGCTCGTTGAGTGTGTGAGCGAGGTTGAGATGAGTGGCGACTTGGTGTGGAATGAGATGAGAGATAATATCCCAGTGAAAATGAGGCGCGGCTGCGCTTAAGATGCGGCTGCAGCGTTTAAGTGTGTAGAGCAGAATGAACGTTCTTCAGTGAGATGGAAGACGGCGATAATGTTATAGCGTTGCTTCACGTCTCAAGGGCACGAGTGAGAGCCGCAATATTTGGTGATGGCGGTGGTGTTGAATATCGGGCGGAGATGAGGTGGGATGAGGGGACGTGACCGAGAATGAATTTGAGGCAGGATTAAGCGGCTCTGCCGAGAAAGAAACAGTCGCGGCTGACACTGACAATACCCAGCAATGACACGCACACGGGACGGGCACGCGGGCGGGGCTTAGTCGAGGATCAACGAGACGGAGAGAGAGGAAGTGGTGGCTTCGGGGCGCCGAGGTGATGGTGTCGCGTGAGAGTGCGGATTCCGAGTTTTTTCTCTGCCACTTTGGCCCCCGCCGATTTTCACCGTCGTCTATCGCGCCAGCGATCTCGGCTGGCGTCGTAAAGCCGAGTCTTAGGTTTTCCAGGTTGGATCCTTCAGGTTCTTTTGGCACAAAGAATGCGGTGATGTGAGTGGGGCAGGGGTCCTCGGGGGTTTTTGCCTGCTGACTGAGCCACCTGGCCATGGGAACGGGTGCGCTGGCGTCGGTGCTGGCGCATCTTTGACAGGCCTCACCCAGGGGGCACCACGCTGTAACACTGCTGTAGTGGTCGTGTTCGATCCTCAGGATCAGATAAACCCCCCCAGGACGGAGTACCTCCCCTTCGATCCGCCCACCGGCGACGCACTTCAGGCAGTCCCCCCACCAAATAGCGGGTACTCTTCAGGGAAAGACCGGGCAGGCAACGGCGGCTTTTCCTTATCAGATCGCCAAGATTTCAATCCATTCGTTTGTGCAATTTTCAATCAGGCGACACGACCCTTTTCACGTGTGTCTCACTTTCATTCTCACTCCCACTCTCACTTCAGTCCTCACACTCACTCCCCCAACCACGCAGTCAAGTAATAACTCATCTTTCACTTCCCTCCTCACCAGCGAGTTTCCCCTCCTCGCCTCCACTTGCTCTTTTCTCCGAGCCCTCGCGTCTGGTGTATTCCGTACAGTTATACTGCGGAGTATAGCTGCCCACCCCTCCCTCGATCGCCGCCGCCCGCTGTCAAAAAGTCTCGGACGTCCAATGTTTCTCCGCGCTCGGCCCGGTTCGTAGAAGCTTTTTTTGTGGGATTTTTCCAACGAGTCTATGAATCACGACCACCTCTCGCGCATCTGGACGCCCGTGCGAGACTGCATATCAACCAAAGTGAAGCAACATAGACTCAGCTCGTGTTTAGTGTCTAGAGTCTAGTGTTGAGTTGAGAGTTGTGAGGGCATTTTGAGCCGCGCCAAAAGGGCACCACAACCACCACCACTATCAAATAAGTACACTGAATAAGGTCGGACTACCACACCGGAAGCAACCCCGGCCACCATGGCCTTTTCATCCTCAACATCGGCCATCTTGGCCCGAGTCGCCGCCCTTACGCTTCTCATATCAACCGCCCTGGCAAAGACCATCGAGCTCGACTGGAACATTGGATGGGTTCTCTCCAACCCCGATGGCGCCTTTGATAAGCCAACCATTGGCGTAAACGGCCAGTGGCCTCTGCCTCTCATCGAGGCAACAAAGGGCGATAGGCTCGTTCTCACCGTCCACAACCACCTCGGCAACGCGAGCACCAGTCTTCACTTCCACGGCCTGTTCCAGAATGGCACCAACCACATGGACGGCGCCGTCGGTGTCACCCAGTGCGCCATTCCCCCTGGTTCCTCATTTACCTATGATTTCAAGGTAAGCTCTCCTTATAGACTCTTTACACAAGCCTATACTCATGCCATCTACAGTTTGATCAAGTCGGCATCTACTGGTACCACGCGCACAACGACGGAACCTACCCCGAAGGTCTCCGCGGTCCTCTCTTGATCCATGACCCCAAGGGTCCCTACGAGGGCAAGTATGACGAAGAGCTCGTCCTGACTCTCTCCGACTGGTACCACCAGTCCACCCGCACCCTCATCAAGGAGCTCATCAGCGTCGAGAACCCTACCGGCGCCGAGCCCGTCCCCAACGCCGCCCTCCTCAACGACACCCAGAACCTCCAGGTCAAGGTCCAGCCGGGTAAGACCTACCTGATCCGCATGGTCAACATTGGCGCTTTCGCCTCCCAGTACATCTGGTTCGAGGGCCACACCCTGCGCGTCGTCGAGGTCGACGGCGTCTGGACCGACGAGGCCGAGGCCGAGATGCTCTACATCGCCCCCGCCCAGCGCTATAGCGTGCTCCTGACCACCAAGAAGGACGCCTCGGAGAACTTTGCCATTGTGGGCTCCATGGACGAGGAGCTTTTTGACGTCATCCCCGACGGCCAGGACTCGAATGTCACCGGCTGGCTCGTTTACGACGACAAGAAGCCCCTGCCCGAGCCTGCCACCGTCGATGAGTTCGACCCCTTTGACGACTTTGAGCTGGTTCCCTATGACAAGCAGGAGATTTACGAAAAGGTCGATTACTCCTTCGAGCTCTCCGTCAAGATGGACAACCTCGCCGACGGCGCAAACTAGTAGGTTTACGACAATTCTATACTAAACAACAGTACAACTAACACCCCCTCAGCGCCTTCTTCAACGACAAAACCTACGTCCTCCCCAAGGTCCCCTCCCTCTACAGCGCCCTCACCGTCGGCGCCGACAACGCAGCGAACCCCCGCGTCTACGGCACAAACTCCATCGCCCACGTCCTCAAGCACAACGAAATCATCGAAATCGTCCTCAACAACGAAGACGACGGCAAGCACCCCTTCCACCTCCACGGCCACCAGTTCCAGGTAGTCCATCGCTCCGAGGAAGACGCCGGCGCGTTCTCCAACGATAGCGATGTTAGCTTCCCCCGCTACCCGGTTCGCCGCGATACCCTCATCGTCGAGGGCAACGGTAACTTTGTCATCCGCTTCAAGGCGAACAACCCGGGCGTGTGGCTCTTCCACTGCCATATTGAGTGGCACATGGACCAAGGGCTCATTGCGACCATTATCGAGGCACCTGATGTCCTCCAGGGGCTGGAGGTACCTAAGGACCATCTTGAGATGTGCCGCGCCGGTGGAGTGCCGACTAAGGGTAATGCGGCTGGTAACACCAAGGACGTGCTGGATCTCACGGGCGAGAACAGGCCTGTGGGACCTTTGCCTGAGGGGTTCACGCCCAAAGGCTACGTTGCCATGTTTTTCAGCTGCGTGGCTGCGTTTATGGGTCTGGCTGTTATTTCATGGTATGTCTTTTGCTTCTATGACGAGAACTCTCCCTTGGTTGGAATGTGTGCTAATGTGAGACTAGGTACGGTGTTTTGGAATCTGATAAGCAGTCGAGCGTTGAGGATTCTGGTTCCGATGCGGGAAACCGAGATGAGTAAACGTCATCTGAGCGAACAAAATTATATACACATGCATATAAATACCTGTCATACATGAACAAACATATATGCACACCGCCATATATGGAAAAATGATTTTGAGTTTACATTTATCAATCTGATTATGCAAAGAGACATGTCTCATCGTGTGCCTTTGACTCAAGCTGGATTCAACGTATACTGGCCCCGTCTTGACCATGTTCACTTGTCTCAAGCATGAATCGCCTCATGTTGACATTTGGTCTACGAGGAAGTCTCACTCAAATATCAGCCAAACGATTATCACTCAACACACCACATCAGCACATTGTGTAATGGAGACTCATTAGGTTGTAGTATACTATCTCCAATCGTATAATAACAAGATCTTCGCTATCATACATCCATAAACATGACCATATCTCCGGTGAATATTAGAGTTTTTGGTTGGCATCCTTCGCCTATGTACATTTTCCTCTCAAAAAAGCTTTCTTTCCATCAAATCGTTCCCAAAGGATACTAAGTTCCCTTAGAAGGCAGCGAGGGCCAGGCCGACGGCGGCGAGGCCCATGGCAGCGGCGTTCTTGCCGGCACCGGCGAAGACGGGGGTGCTGGGGGTGGCGGTTCCGGAAGGCTACAATGAAGAAAAAGAAACCACGTTAACAAACAAAGAACACCAAAACATTTACATCATAGACCAGGCCCAGGCGACACATACAATAACGACAGAGGTTCCGATGGAAGTGACGCGGGTGACGGTAGCCGCGGAGGTGCCGGCAGCGGAGCCAGAGGTAGTCGCGGCGCCGGAAGCGGAAGCAGAAGCGGAGCCAGAGGCAGAGGCGGCGGTGGAGAGGGTGGTGGCGGGAGCGCCAGCGGCCGAGGTAGAGGCAGCAGGGGCCGAGGACTCAGCGGCAGCAGAGCTGGAAGACGCAGCCGGAGGCGCGGCAGCGGTGGTGGTGGCGGGAGCGGGAGCGGCAGTGGTGGTAGCCGGGGCGGGGGCGGCGCTGGTAGCTGCGGCGGTGGTCTCGACGGCGCCTCCGGAGGGGCTGGGGGTCGGGGAGAGGCCGCACTTTGCGGCAGCGGAGGTGACGCCGGAGGAGTAGTACATCCAGATGGCGTAGGTGTTTGCGCAGCTCATGCAGCGGCCGTAGCGCTCGTTCCACTCCGAGTTGGTGCAGAAGCCGTCCTGGCGGCCGAGGGTGATGAGGAGACCTGGTGGTTGTCAGTATCCTGGGTCACGTACTTTATTTAGAAGGGAGAATGGAAGAAGTGTAGACTTACCGCAGTCCTCGTGGCACTGGTAGCGGGGAGTGCCGGGCTCCTGGCGCTTCTCAACGGCGGGAACGGAGTCGGGGTACTCGAAGCGAGGGTGGACCTGGGCGACGGCCATGGAGGCGACGGTGGCCAGGACGGTGCAGGTAACGAATGAACGCATCTTGAAGGTTGGTATTAGGGATGAGTTTGGTAAGTTGTTGGACTCGAAGATGCTTTGTGGGAGGAAGACTGGATGGGGAGGAGAATTGTCTTAATGGCAGTCAAGTTGTGGATTTGGGGAAGCGAGCGTGAGGAGGGAAGAGGGGGGTGGGAACGAGATGAAAGAAGGTTGGCGAAAGAGGTTATTATAGATTATGATGGCTTTGTTGTTTGTCCACATGAGGTACGAAGTAATAGGGGAAAGTCAGGCACGGGAAATCAGGTACAGGATCAGGTACAGGAGAGCCGGCGAGCATGCAAGCATCAGATTCAGTCTAGGCTTTCCCGGCCTGTGAATGTGGAAACCCCAGGGAATGGATGCTCATGTCGGCCTCTTCCGTGGTCCAGCTTGGCCGATGAGAGTATCCATCAGCTGGAAGACCTAGGCCAGGGTAGAGCGATGGTCCACGGGCGTGTAAGGGGGGTTAATACGACGGGATCTGAACAGGATATGGCAAGGCATGTCAAAGCAAGGCAAGGCAAGGCAATGACATAAGGTAGTCCAAAGTCAACGGTCCGCGGAGCAGGGTAGCGCGCGCGGGACTTGAAGAGCGTGGGACTATTCGTATAGACTCCATGGGTGATGGGATAGCTAACAGAGCCCAGTGGGCGAAGAGCAAGTATCCGATCGTGGAAGCTCGGATTTGCCCCGGATCGCCGAAGTAAACCCAACGCGCTCATAGTGTAATTTGCGGGATGCCGAATAGAAAAAAAGCTCGTACCAAAGGTAAAAGACAAGGCAAAAGATCCTTGTCATGCGTGGTCGTTGGCATGGCATGGGCAACTGCAGCTCAAGTGGAGGTCGAGAGGAGGAGGCAATGACTGGGTGAGAGAGGAGGCTAGGAGGAGAGTACCCCGCCGAACCAACGCAACTCTAAGTGTACATACATGGTACGGATGCGACCCTTGGGTCTTGGCCCCTTTGGCAAAGAGGTTATCGAGAAGGAGGGGTGGAGGCTCGGAGACTGGGGATATGGGACATGGGAGTCAGAAGGAATCTAGAGCCCCGAAGTATGTGCGAAGAGCAGAGAAGAGGATCTTGGCGGGGAGAGATGGAGGAGAGAATGGACTGAAGCGGATGGCGTCGGCCATTGCCCGGCTGCTCTATTACTCTCACCGTTTGGTAGAGCGGGTAATTCTAGAGAAGAAAGACTGACTGATGGCGATGATAACTTGCTCGCTCATCAGTAATGTCTTCTCGTTAGTCCGAGAGCGAGTCCCTCCCGGAAGTCGGAAATACCAGCAATGGGTGACCTGATGGCTGATGCCAAGGGCTGAAAGCATGCGGTTTGGCCGAGAGAGGAGCGAACGTCACGAATCGGCCTTCCCAAAACGGGCTGTCTGATCCGTGGCAACCGTTTTATTTATTAGTCTTCTAGTGCCTTTCCGACGTCCGTATGTGCGGCGGCGCGCCTGTGCCTCACCGATATCGTCGACGGGCTCGTCTATTGTGGTCTTGGGAGTCAGGGACCAGTCACCTTGAGCAGTGTACGTGATTGGGGGATCGGGGAGGTGTGGAGTTGGGAGAAATGGCTGGGCGGCCCTGTGGGATATGACTGTCCGTGGCGTGAGGAGGCGTTTATTCCTTGCGCGAGCTGCGTGAGTGGTGGGATGAATCGCGATCCTTGTTGGGGCCTCTCGTTCTCTTTCTGCGGGCGAGGTCGGACAGAGTCGACATTCTGCGAGGATTCATCCATGTCCATCCATGCTGCGTCCGGGCTAATTAGGGTTAACAACCGACGGGCGGCCTTTTGAAGCGGAGAACGGAGGAGGACCCAGACCCAGACCAGACCAGGGGTGGGCAGAAGAGGAGGAGGAGACTGGAGGAGACGGAGAGTAGGTTGTGGGTTCAAGGTGAGACAAGGTAAAAAGTACCTAGCGCTGCGGATCTTGAGGATGCATCTAATCTTATCAATCACATCAGTTAAACGACAGCCCATCCAGCCATCAGCCAACAATCTTTGCCAACCATTGTCAACTATGTGCCACCCAGACAATGGCAGACATCCACGTCCGGTGAACCATTCCCTGTTTGGATATATTGCTCCATGCTGCCAAGAGGCACAAGCGGGCCGGATGGCTTCATTTGATTGGACAAAGTGATCTGATAAACTACTTACGGTTCTTGGTGAAGGGGAGAAAAGAGTTTTCGAAACTTTGATTGTGTGTGTCCTTACTTACTGTATCCATGTTGAGAGGTACATGTGGCATACACGATAAATGAACTTCAAGCATGTTTATCCCTCGTTCCCCTCTATCTCACCACCCTAGAGTTGCAACCATTCCTACGCTACTCTGCAACCTGGTTGTTCGCCAAGGGAACTTGTCGCGATGGTATCTACAGTAATTGCCTGGGCACTTGATCCCCTCACAAAGTGACAAAGAACGTATCCGGTCCCTTCGGCGGCCGAGCGAGAGAGAGAAAATCGATAGAGGCGGGGCGGGGGTTTGATTTCTGTCTGCTTCGTATTCACGTTCCCAGATTTTTGCCGCCCGGCGGTCTTCCCTGTCCGTCCACATTCTTGGCCATCAATCCATCTAGATACCAGACCTTATTGCTCATACTCCTCCCCAAAAGTTCCGCTGTTTATGTTATCAATCTACGGGATGCTGGCAGAATCTATGAAAGACTTGAGTGATACTTCCCAAGACCTTTTTCCATGCAAAAGAATTCCGTGGTCGCCACCACCCTTCATCCATGCGGCCGTGGCCTCCTCCCACCACCCCATCCAACGGGATCCAGCCAAGTCTTGCCATGTCCTGGGCGCAGGTTGTCTGGGCACTATTGGCGGAAGCCTGAACTGAACTCGTGCCTGACTTCTTTTTTTCCCTCACTATCTTCTGGGCGGGATCCTCCCTCTCTGGGCGGATATCCCGCCATTCGTGATTTCTGTGAACCCATCTTCTTTCCGTTGACATGTGTGAGCGGAGGTGGTTGGTGTAAGGTTAACCCAAAGAGGGGAAAAGAGGACCATGTGAGATAGATCCATCATCCAGGTTACATGCAATATGCAACCAGTCGGCTTGCAAAGGCGAAGAGAAGAAAATCTCAGGTTGACCTGCAGTAGTATAACTTGACCGTTGTTGCCATCCGGTTCGTTCCCAAGGATCTTATGCTAGTTAAGCCGCCCCCTTAATTCTTAATTCTTCCCACCACCCCCTCCACAGTCGTCGTACGCATCTCTTTCGTAACGCACTCTGTTGGTCCAAGGCATCGCGTGTTTTGCCGCATACCCGTCTCTTGTCTTGTCATCGAAAAAGCTTCTTTTTGATTCAAGCCCACATCACGGCAGCAACAATGCACGCCTCCCTCAAGACGCTTTTGGCCCTGGGCCTCGCCTCGGTTGCCTGTGCCCAGCACACCAAGCAGGATGATGAGATGGGTCCTGCTGCCTTCATGTGGCCGGCTGACAGAGTCTGGAGCGGAGACATGGACAACCAGGCTCCATGTGGTTCAAAGTCTGGTGCTGCCAACAGAACCAATTTCCCCTTGGGTGAGTCAAAAGTCTCGGAACGAAAGTTCTTGATGAAGACAAAAAGATGCGTGAGCCTTTGACTGACGAGTATCGATGAATAGTTGGTGGAAAGGTCGCTCTCGTTGCCCAGGATGACTACTACAACAGCAAGATCTCCATCTCTTACAAGAATGGTATGTTCACGAAACTCTCGCCATTTTATTCTGTTTGAGTGTATGAACTCGACAAACAAGCACTTCAGTCTACTTGACCTCCCCTTGACTCTCACGAAACCTTCTCAACCCCCTATTGCCCATCACAACATGACTAACAAACCACTCAAGAACCAACCTCCAACAGCGACTTCACCACCATCATCGAGGAACAGTCCGTCTCGGACCTGAACCCAGGCCACACCTGCGTCGACGTCCCTAACCCGCCCTCCTCCGTCGCAGCAGGCTCCAACGCAACTCTCCAAATCATCTACCGCGCCGACTGGGACGCTCCCCACAACCAGACCTTCTACGCCTGCGCCGATATCACCTACGTCGAGGCCGCCAACTTCAACACTCGCATCCCCTGCTTCAACGCCACTGAGCCTGGCGAAGACGACATCGCCGCCACCGCGTCCCCCTCCGCCTCGTCTACCAACGCTGCCTCCAACTCTGGCTCTAGCTCTGGTAGCAGCGGAAGCAAGAAGCTTTCTGGCGGTGCGATTGCCGGTATCGTCATTGGTGCCGTCGCTGGTGTTGGTCTGCTGATTGGTGCCGCGCTCTTCTTCTATCGCAAGAGCCAGCAGAAGAAGCGTAACTCGAGACTTGCCCGTATGGAGGAGAATGCGAAGCGCTCTGAGCACTACAACGCTGGCAAGGACTCGACTTCGCAGAACAGCATTAAGTTGAACAACCTTCCCTGAAAGTAGGAAAGATGGTAGCCTCGGGATTGTCTGACGATCTCTGAACCGTTATGTTGGGCAAGTTTCATGTTGTTGGTTCGAAAAGGGGGAAGGGCTGGGATTTTGAATGAGAAATGAAGACGTTTGTGATGGGCTGAGTGAGGCTGGGCTGGGAGATATTATGGGCTGGAAGAATTATGTGTTATGCGCGATGAGATGATATCCAGTTCTTAGTTTAGCAATGATTTGTTTCTTCTACTTTCTCTTACTTGAAGGCCTCTGCCATCGTCAAAAGGTAACAGTATCAAGTGAAGAAGTACAGTTCCAACTGTGTTCTTAACACCCGGGACGACATACTTCCTCGCTCAAGTCAGGTACTCGAGACAATTCGCCCCAGACGAAACCCCCGACGACGTAAAATACCACCCCCAAGCCCTCTCAAGCGCAATCACAGGAATCTTCTTCTCCCTGCACCCAAAAACATACAACAACGACTCCGCCATACCCACGCCCCCCACAAGCTCCTGCAACACGCCCGTCACCCCGTCCATAATCTCCGGGTCCGCTCGCGACTTGTACACTATAAACGCCATCGGCCGGATGAGGTCGTTCTCGAGCACCAGCGTCTCCAGTCCGTTGAGCTTCTCCTTCCGCGTCAACTGCAGCGCGTGGCCGATCATGTCGCGGTACAGCGGCGTCACGGCGGGGAGGACGTTGGCGTCGAGCCTGTGACGCTTGTAGATGGCAGCCAGGTTCTCGACGTAGAGGGACTCGAGGGTCATGGCCTGGAACCAGCGGTGCGGGTTGCGGTCTCGTTGCTGGCGCGAGGTTTGCAAGAGGGGGAAGAAGCTGGCGTGCCAGGTTTGGAGGAGGTTAGCCGACTCCTTCCAGATGGCGGCGTCGTTGGAGGGGTTGTCGGAGGGCTTGTTGGGGGATTTGAATTTGAGACCGTGGAGAGAGTGCATCATGGCGTGCTGCGTTAGATGCCACCATCGCGATGCTTCGGTGATGTTGGTGAGGCTCGACGGCATGTCTTCCATCCTGTATCTGTGTCTGCACCTGTGCGGGAAGTTGCGCGCCTGCGCCGTGACGCGGATCCCTTCTGGTCCGAACCCCTGTGCCCACGGATGCGTATCGAGTCTTTGCAAGGTATCAAACAGCGCAGACTCGAGCTCAGAAAGCCGAACCTCTTCAAACGGCACGCCATCCTCCTCCAACCGAAGACTGATAAACTGATCCATCATAGCCACGGCATGGTTATGATGCTTCGACGCAGCTTCCGGGTTCCCCGCCATCATCTCAAACGTGGTGAACAGCATCGACGTCAGCACCATATACGGCAGCGTATACGTCGTCGCCTTCACGCTGAAGACGGCTTTGACGGCGTGGCCGTAGTGTTCCAGCGCGGCGCGGTACTCTGCGCTGACGAGCTTGTCGCCGACGACTGGGTGAAAGGCTTTCCCAAGGGCCCCGATGCCGGAGCAGATTTCCCGAATGGCGATCTCGTGGTTGGCGTACTGCGGCGTCATCTCCGCCACGTGGTTCTTGAGCACGGTGGCGCCCTGCTCAAGGTTCACGATGAAGGACTGGAACGAGTCCCACTGCCGCTGGTTCTGGAAGAGGGCCGTCTCGTAGCCCGGGGTGATGAGGACGCGGTGGTCGGGGGTCCGGCGCTGTGCGGTAAGGGTGATATGCCCGCCATCGCCACTGCTGCCGCCGCCGGCTGGACGGGAAGTGATATGGACTTGACTATGTCTCTGTGTCGTGAGACGCAGTCCCGAGTCGAGGTAGCCCTCGCAGATACGGTTTGATTTGACGCATTTCATGCAGTGTGGTCTGGCCAAGTCACACTTGATGTGGCGTCTCCTACATGTGCGACACCACGTGAGACCCGTATTCTCCTCATCAAGGGTGGGAACCGTTACGAGGAACGAGGACGGGGGCGAATCAAAGACGAGCATAAGAGAGTTGACATAAACGTACCTGCATTCTTTACACCCATTCCGGGTCTTGGGCGCGCTCGCACGGCTCTGCTTGGGTCGGTTCGAAAGCGAGAAGACGTGAAGCTGGCCGTTTGATGGAGTTCTAAGACCCGAAGTGATTAGTTGTTGGCCCATAAATGAACGGGAGATGCTCCCATTTCCTTGCTATGAAGCCACGTGCTCTTCCTTGGTCGATCTTCTTCAGACGCTGGTACCAACGACGTCGGCTTCAATGAACCCTGGACACCTCTCATCCAACAGACCAGTCTCTCACGT